AGTTTGTCAGCTGAGCAATCCCATAACAACAACATTCTCGTCCAGACGCTCCAGCGACAACTGAGTTTACTGCCTCACTTAAACAGTGGACTCCTCCGCACTAGCTGGCCTGGGGTCACCCCACACCAAGCCCACCAACCTTATAGTGGCTGGCCCGGGGCCACTCCGTACCAGCATCACCAATTACCTGCTAATTAACCATAATGCCAGGCATACGCAGTCTGATAACCGCCTGTCCATTCTCTCTGCTAATGTGAGGGGGCTCCAAAACAAATCTTGGTGACCTAACTCACAGCTTTGTTCTACCGCTGAGGCCTGACATAATTGCAACGGTGGAGACCTTTCTTAATCCACGGTTCCAGACAATTTTGGCAGAATCGGTGGCTACACGAAGTGGCACAGAAAGGACAGGACACAAGGCACCTTCGGGGGCATAGCTGTATGCTTTAAAAGTGGTCTGCACGTCCAGCCACTACAAGTGGAAATGCCTGAGCACCTGGAGCTCTCGTTTTTCAAGTTCTGGAAAAACACGCAAGAAACCTCTCTCCTGTGTGTTTGCTACAGACCCCAGTGGCAAGGACCTGAGCCTCTGTTATTCCTCCAGGATCACCTCGATTGCTTTGCTTCATCAGCACCACAGTGAAAACATCATAATCGTTGGTGACCTGAACCAGTACCTGGTGGCTAGATCGTTCGATGATCTGCTGGACACCTTTGGTCTGGCCAACCATGTGGATTTTCCGACACACATATCAGGCTCATCACTTGATCCCGTCATCACTGACCTCCCTGACGGCGCGGTAACGTGTCAGTCTGTGGGAACCGTTGGCTCTTCTGACCACTTTGCCATCCTTACCAGGCTTAACATCAGACCTATGCGGGAGGAAGCGTTTACACGCACAGTATGGCACTGGGGCAGAAGTAACTGGCAAGGCCTTCGTGATGCCTTAGATAAAACAGAATGGAATAGCATCCTGGATGGAGATGTAGACGACCAAACTCTAGCCCTCACACGTCATCTAGTCACTCTCCAATCGGTCTTCGTACCCCACGAAGACTATACAACCAGGCCAATGGATCAACCTTGGTTTGGTCCTCACTGCAAAGCAGCTGCAGACAACAAAGCCAGGGCTTGGGTCAGCTACAAACGTAGCCCCACGAGCCGAAACAAGCAGCTCCATACTGCTGCCTGCACAAGGATGAAGAGGGCGCAGAAGTGGGCCATTGCACGCTGGAAGGAGGACCTGCGAACCAAGCTTATTGGTCAGTCAGTGGGAGGTAAATCCTGGTGGAGTTGCATTAAGCAACACCAGGGTTATGCGCCTGACGATGGTATCCCTCCTCTCGATAAGCCAGATGGATCTGTGGCTGCATCAAGCCAGGAGAAGGCAGAACTTCTCGCCAGCTACTTTTCGGAAAAAATGACTGTCCCTGAACCCGCCGTGCCGCCCCCTAGATTGTCACCACAGACTCGGTCACGGCTTTATAATGTGTCAATCTCGGTGCAAGAAGTGAAAAAAGAACTGAAGAGCCTGGATGTGACGAAAGCTGTGGGGCCAGACAGAATTAGCCCTCATACTCTCGTCAATTGTGCCGACCAGCTGGCCACACCACTTGCTGCACTGTTCCAAGCATGTATGGCACAGAAGATATGGCCAAAAATCTGGAAAACTGCAAATGTCGTTGCAATCCACAAAAAGATGAGCAAGACATCTCCCACGAATTATAGACCCATCTCCCTCTTGTCCATCGTGGCGAAGGTCTATGAGAGAATTCTTGTTAAAAGAATGGCCAGCTTCCTTGATGAACACCACCTCATCAGCAACAGGCAGTTCGGCTTCAGGTCACAGAGATCTGCATCGGACCTCCTCCTCCAACTTACGACTGCCTGGCAGGAGTCTCTCGATGCAGGCGGTGAAACTTTTGTCATTGCACTTGATATCGCTGGTGCATTTGACAGAGTGTGGCACAAGGGCATCATTGCAAAGCTGAGAAGCCTTGGCATAGCAGGACCCCTGCTGTCGCTTCTCGAGGACTACCTGCATGGAAGAACAATGCAGGTGGTTGTTAACGGCCAAACATCCTCTAAATTTCCGATCGAGGCAAGTGTCCCACAAGGCAGTGTTATCGGGCCTTTGTTGTGGAATGTATATTTTAACGATATCCTGCAGCTCATTCCAAACGCCCAGGCCTATGCAGATGACTGTACCCTATCTTTCACCTGCAGCCACCCAAGCCGAAAGGAAACCGTGCATCACATCAACAACGTCATGGGACTCATCGTTGCATGGAGCAAGTCACCTTCGCTCCTGAGAAGACCCAGGCCATGTTGATAACGCGACGCCAGGCTCCCCTCGCACACACTCCGGCCTTGGTGATGGACGGCATGACCCTAGCCTACGACAGCGCCATCAGCATCCTAGGGGTGCAGATCGACCACCGCCTCACCTTCACAGACCACGTCAGGGGCATTGCAAAGAACGCGGCGAGGAAACTGGCGTGCATCCGTCGCATCGCGCCCTTCCTCGATGCCAAAGGTTGCTACACGCTCTACCACTCCCAGGTTCGGCCAGTAATGGAGTACTGTCCCTTGGTGTGGTCCTGCTGTCCTCCATCATACCTGCGACTGCTAGACAGGGTCCAAATTCGAGCCCAGAGACTAGTGTCACACAAAACGCTGGTTGGGGAGCGACAGTTACACTTTCAGCCTCTTCAGCATCGGCGAGAAGTTGCTGCTCTCTGTGTATTCTACAAAGTACACAGGCTACGCGTCTCCCATCTTACATCTCTGCGACTTGAACCACGAGCGGCTGCAGCCTACGAAACACGGCATTCAAGCAACCGCGGTCAAGAGCTGCAGGTACCCTTCTCCAGGACCGAACTTCATCAGCGCTCATTTCAACCAAGATATTCCAGGCTCTGGAACACGATGGTTCAGCAAACATCTCTGTACAACCTGTCCAGCCTGCAAGCTTTCAAGGCTGCTGTTCACAGATGGAGGTCCCACGATCCTGGTTAATACGTAATGTCCAATTCATAATAAGCACATTCCCACAAGGTAAAGCTTCTAGATAGATTTTCATTTACAAGGAAATCTTAAGCTTAGAGTAAAACAAGGGAGCATAAAACACCATGTTTTAACCTGTATATATGACAAAGTATAAAAAAAAAAAAAAAAAAAAAAAAAAGGAGGAGAGAGAGAGAGAGAGAGAGAGAGAGAGAGAGAGAGAGAGAGAGAGAGAGAGAGAGAGAGAGAGAGAGAGAGGAGAGAGAGAGAGAGAGAGAGAGAGAGAGAGAGAGAGAGAGAGAGGAGAGAGAGAGAGAGAGAGGAGAGGGAGAGAGAGAGAGAGAGAGAGAAGAGAGAGAGAGAGAGAGAGAGAGAGAGAGAGAGAGAGAGAGAGAGAGAGAGAAGAGAGAGAGGGAGAGAGAGGAGGGAGAGGAGAGGAGAGAGAGAGGGAGAGAGAGGGAGAGAGAGGGAGAGGGAGGGAGGGAGGAGGAGAGAGGAGAGAGAGAGAGAGAGAGAGAGAGAGAGAGAGAGAGAGAGAGAGAGAGAGAGAGAGAGAGAGAGAGAGAGTCAAATCGCCTTATATGCAGCTTGACAATTCAAGAGGAAGCCGAGAAAATACTGAAGCTTACAAAATTTTTACCAAACTCATTTCGAAACTGTCGTTGATGTTCCCGCCATTTTTCCTTCCCGCGGTTGCAGCGATTTCCATTTTGAATTCGAAAACGATTACTGTTTGTTTTATTCCTGCCCAATTTATTTTTGTTTTCTCTCCTGTTTTCTCTCTCCTTCCTATACTAGCCTTTTTTCGTTATTTCTTTCTGATTTTGTTTGTTTTTTCTTAGTTTTTTTGTGTGTGTTTCTTTCCCTTTCACTTTTCAGGTTTTTGTTACTATTTTCCTTTCCTTCTATCTATTCCCCCCTTCTTCCCCAGCCATACCTTCTTCCCTGTACTCGCCCCCTTTCTTCCCTGTTGATTCTCTTTTGCGTCCTTTTTTCCTGCACCCCGTCTTTCTTCCTAGTTAGTCTCGTTTCTTCCCTCATTCCTCTGTCCCCTTTCTCCCCCACTCTCCCTTCCTTTCCCCCGCTTCCGCCGTTTCTCACGTTGCGCGCCACGACGCGAGCGGCAGAGCGCAGGCGCGAGGCCGAGCATGACGAAACCCGCTTTGGGCAATCGGATGGTTAATGCATGTCGACTTGCAGCTGCGGTGCTGCTAATGATTGCTGCATCATGCTCGCCTCCATATCAATCCCATGTTCTTCGCAGGCACCTCTATCGCTGGCTGTCTTCGTGCGAAATGAGGACCTTTCTGACAATGCCAAATTGCTTTTTCCTTTCGGGGAAACTGTACAAATGTTGATTAGCAAACGGATTGTTATTCATTGTTTATGTTGATTATACGTTTTCAGGGTTAGCCTGTTTGAACACTGCCTTGCTTAAATCCTTATCATGGACATCGCTGTGTTGTTTGTGTCCCAAAATAACAAGGGCGTCGCTGCGCCAAAACAACAGTCGAGGTTATTGCCTTGTTCCATAGACGATAATGTCGTGAAAGCTGTCCCCATAATTACACAGACGGGAAAGACGTTTACTGTAAAGGCGCTCATGATCGATGCTGCTTCATGTTTTTTTCGCGAGACGGAGCGCCCCGACTGCAGGAAAATCCACTGAAGCAATTTCCGACGAAGCTGCGATCGGCAGCTTTCCATGCGACGTCGTGGCAGCTTTTCTCTTTCTTTCCTGTGACTGCTTTTAGTGTAAACTCGATTTAAAATTTGTTTATAAAAATTATAGATTATTCTGGTTGAGCAAACTGAAGGCCTCTTGTCCTGGACAATTCTGGCGTCAAAGAGTTCATCGCGTGACAGGCGATGGCCTCCGTCACATTCGTAAACAAAGATGACAGAGTTACGTCGCATTCTACGTACTTTCCTTCTAGGGCGCAGAGCGCATAAGAATAAAGCCGTGCTGCGCATGATCAAAGAGAGACGATGTCGGATACAGTTAAAGATAACAGAAGGGGTTTATTTCAATACAACACCATGGGGTTGTTATGAGCTGGTCCGACGCCCACAGTCAAAATGGCATGCAGATGAGGAGTGCGCTGTTTTATTGGCCCTTTTGATATGCTTCCTAGTTCTACATCGCGCTGTGGCCAGTCTGCCATTGGACAGAGAAGTCGTAAGGCGTTCCCTTCCGCCAAGACAGCACCCCACCCCCACCCCCACCCCCTGCGCCACTTCTCTTTGAATCCGTTCGAATCGCCGCCAAGCGAAAGGGCGGCTGGCGCGTTCGCTCGGGTCGATCCTTGCGTGGTTTGGGTCTGAAGCTCCTTTTGAAGCAAGATTCTCTTCGAAGGCTTTGGACGATCGAGTTTATATCATGAACATTGAACCTAGAAATCAATACACTGAATAAAGGCGAACGGTAAGAGAAGGTCATCCAAACAAGGAAGGGATGCAGCGCCGCCCGTCAGGTGATCGATGGACATGTGCCGCCCATTCACTTTGACGAAATCGCAATCCATCATTTGCGCGGATGAGCTGCGGATGTTGCGCCACGTTTTACGACTATTGTTGGTCCCCGTGCTCAAGGGGAATTGCAACCGTCGCTTCTGTTTTATTTTTCCGATTCTTTTCTTAGCGAAGTTTATGCAATTGTTGGCTCTCCTGTTTGCAAGCCCTTAAGTATCCTCGCTGCGCATCACCTCATCACTGCCAGACGAGCGATGGAAGTGTCACTGCACAGTCAGCTTTCAAGTTCCTTTTACAAGGCTGACGTTCGCTTCCAGAAAGCCTTAGCGTCGTCGCTCGCTGCTCGCAGAGAATCGGACGAGCGGGCGATCGTGTCAGCGAAGCGTGGATGGGGAAAGAACAACAGAAGAAGAAACAGGAATTAAGAAGTCAACGCCGGTCCATCCGCGAGGCCAAGCAAGAGGCCCAAACGCGGAGAGAAAACCTCGAGGCTCAGGCGGCCTCCGCTGCGCCCATACTCATCCTCAAGGACTGCGGGCTCGCGACGCCGCAGGATGCCAGGCCCGGAAGCAGGGCTTTTTCTTCAGCTCCTTGACTCATTCAGTTACTAACACTTTTCGCCACAATTCCTCCATTTCTTTCACTCAGAAGCTGTTCCCGAAGTGGTACACACAGAAGACTCCTCCGCCCCCCCCCCCCACTCGGCCGAGGGCATAAGACAGCGACCAAGAATGAACACTGTCCCTCACCGCCACGATCTGAAGAAGGCGAAGGCGGGGAATAAACCAGAGCCTCGCTTCAGATGGAACGGAAGAAAATGACCTTAAATGGATAACGATTCCCTTTAACGCGCGAAAATGCGCTTGACAGAATGACAGTGACAGATGCCAGTCTAGCCCGTTATGTGCATGATAGCTGACAGGCTGGCGGAGGCAGTGACTCGAAATGCAACTGCTGTTCCGGCTCGTCGCTCCCACGCCCGCCGCCAACCTCGCGAGCGCCTTGCTCAAAAGGGAAGGAAAAAGCGGGAAAGAAAAGAGCAAACGCTAAAGCCAGACGAAGACGCACTACGCCCACCTCACTCACTCTCACTCACTGAGACGGAGACGCCCACCTCACTCACTCACTCACTCACTGAGACGGAGACGCCACCTCACTCACTCAACTCACTACGGAGACGCCCACCTCACTCACTGAGACGGAGACGCCCACCTCACTCACTGAGACGAAGACGCCCACCTCACTCACTGAGACGGAGACGCCCACCTCACTCCACCTCACTCACTGAGACGACCCACCTCACTCACTGACGCCCACCTCACTCACTGAGACGGAGACGCCCACCTCACTCACTGAGACGGAGACGCCCACCTCACTCACTGAGACGGAGACGCCCACCTCCCTGAATCACTGCTTATCATTATTATCCTTTCTGTTATCACTAATTTAATCATCATCATTATTATCATTATTACTATTATTACTATTACTTTCTTTATGATTATCAACATTATTCATATACTAGATATTGATAATGATTATTAACTTTTCTTTTTATTATTGCTATCATTACGATTATTATTATCATTGTTATTATCATTATAATTATCATTATCATTGTTTTTATCATTACCATCATCCTTATCATTATTGTTATTATCATTGTCATCACCATCATCATTTTTACTATTATTATTAATACTATCATTACATCACTATTTTTATTGCAATAATTATTATTATTATTGTTAATATCATTAATATTATCATAATCATGATCGTTATTATTATTATTACTCTCATTTTTATCTTTAGTCTTTTTATCACTTTTACCATAATATTTTCAATAGTATCATTTTTTTATCACTGTTATCATTATCATTATTATCATAATCATTATTATTGTTGATGTGTTTGTTAGCAAGAGAAGTAGTAATAGTATCATTATTATCATTATCATCATCTTTTTGTAGTAATATCATTATTATTATCATTATTATTAATATTATTATCAGCATCAGCATCATTATCACTATCAATATCATTATCACCATTGCAATCATCATCATAATCATTAACAGCATTATTATCTTTACCGTCATCATTACTACCATTACCATTTTTATCTGTTACGATTACCATTACTGTTATTGCCTTCATCATCATTGTTATTCTTTATTTTTGTTAAGGATAATGATGATAATGATGAACAACAATCACGCTGATAACAGAAAAGAATGTGAAAGTGAAAGCATGATAATTATTAACGCAAGAGACAAAACGATGAAATTCATAGGAAGGATAAGAGGGAGGGAGCAGAGAGTACTGGGCACACGGGGGGGGGGGGGTTGGCTTTAATCTGCCGTTCTTATTTAGTTTAACGCCGAGCAATTAGTTACTGATGGTAGCCATGGTAGCGTCAAAGGTTATTTAAAAAGAATTTATGTATAGTTTGGTGGGAAACACAGCATTTAAGAAAAAAATGGTTTTATTTAACATAAAAAACAAGAACATGGAAGACGCGAAAAACACGAAAAAATAGCATAAAATATAAAATAATAGTCAAAAACCAGATACTTATTTGTTTGCTGTGGTTGTTCTTCTCAGGTCACAAGCTCCGAGCCAACTGTCTGAGGAGCTCAGCAGTTGCTCCGAAGAAGGTTCGTTTTGGCTTTTTATTGTTTCTTACGTTTAAGATACTTTTGATTTTCTTTGTTTCACTTTCAGCATTAATTTTTTAATGTATTTAAAAAATAAAACATTTATATGAAAAAATAAGAAATACAATATGTAAATGATGGCGGGAATAAAGGCCGCCTTCAAGGCGGTCGTTGGTCGTGGCGAGGCGGTGGCTTGAGCTCGTCCCTCGGCTTCTTGCGGGAGTTGGCGTCTCGTCTTGACGGAACGTGAGTTATGGCGGCGAGTCCCCTAGGCTTGAGAAAAGCTGCCTTACTACAGGGGGTAGAAAGAGGAGAAACCGAAAAAAGAAGAGAAGAAACACGAGATAACAAAGAATGATTAGAGAGAAATAGAAATGAAAGAAAGGAGAGTATGGAAATGGGTTCTTAAAAAAGAATGAGGGAGAATGCCTGACCAAAGAAAAAGGAAGAAGATAACAGGGAAAGAAGGGAAGAGGCGCGAACAAAGAAGACTCCCTGATCACGCCCTCAGATGATGCCTTTGAGTGAGGGTGACAGGTGACGATGCGCTTCCCCCGGCGCCCCCAACCCCCCGCCCTCCTCCAAGTGTCATCCACTGTCTCCCCTCTTTCTCACCATGCGCTCCCTCTCGTTCACCCTGTCGTCACCATGCACTCTTTATCCTCTTCGTCTCACGCACGAAATCCCCCCCCCCCCCCACTGCCAGGCCTTCCCACCACAGCCCCTCGTCAGACCCCTCGTCCTGCCGCGGACCCCCGGAACTCCTCCTTTCAGACCCACATCCGCGAGGACCCGGTGCCGGCGCTCCCAGGCCCCTTTGGGACTGCTTCGAACCCCCTCTTGCGGCCCCGTTGCACAGCGCTGTCAGACCCATTCCAGACTCCTCATTCCAGCCCTTCAGACCCCATTCCAGACCCCTGTCCCATCAGACCCCATTCCAGACCCCCATCCCATTCCAGACCCCATTCCAGACCCCTGTCCCATCAGACCCCATTCCAGACCCCTGAGACCAGACCCCCCATCAGACCCCATTCCAGACCCCTGTCCCATCAGACCCATTCCAGACCCCCTGTCCCATCAGACCCCATTCCAGACCCCCTGTCCCATCAGACCCCCATTCCAGATCAGACCCCAGACCCATTCCCCCTCCCATCAGACCCCATTCCAGACCCCCTGTCCCATCAGATTCCAGACACCAGACCCCCTGTCCCATTCCAGACCATCCCCAGACCCCCTGTCCCATTCAGACCCCCTTCCAGACCCCCTGTCCCATCAGACCCCATTTCCAGACCCCCTGTCCCATTCCCATTCCAGACCTGTCCCATCAGACCCATTCCAGACCCCCTGTCCCATCAGACCCCATTCCCCCAGACCCCCTGTCCCATCCCCCATTCCAGACCCCCTGTCCCATCAGACCCCATTCCAGACCCCCCATCAGACCCCCCCTGTCCCATCAGACCCCATTCCAGACCCCCTGTCCCATCAGACCCCATTCCAGACCCCCTGTCCCATCAGACCCCATTCCAGACCCCCTGTCCCATCAGACCCCATTCCAGACCCGCCTTTCCCCTGCTGGCGATAAGCGGGAGGCGACGACGCGGAACCGCGAGCGCTGTCGGCAGGCGGGAGAGGCAGGGCATCGCTCCTCCGAAACGAGGGCGGGGCCTCCTCTGCGTCTGCTCTCCTCTGCCTTTCTTTTCCCCGTTGGGGAAGGGCTTGGGGAGGAGAGGAAGGGGAGAGGGGAGTGAAGGACCCGCGAAGGGGTGTCCGCCGGAAGGGAAAAGGAATTTGGAGGGCAAAGGAAGGGGCGAGGGTGGGCGGGAAGGAAGGATGGAGGGGGAGGAGGGAGAGGAAGGGAGCG